TATATATATATATATATACACATGCACACACACACACACATATATATATATATGTATATTCATAGAAATATTTTAGATAAGATTAGTTATTAGAATAAACACTTTAATGTGTTTATTCTAATATTTTCAATCTACTTTAACAAAACAATAACAATTACTTATATAACTAAATATGATTTCTTCAATTTTGCATTATTAATCTTTGATTACTTAAGCTTCTTTAAAACAAGTATTGAAAAAGAAGTTATATTTATGATTTCGTTCTCTCGTAATGTTACAAAAAGTATCTTGAAGGAAATTGCATGCTGCATGTGTGTCATGAGTGTCCAGAGTTTGAAGCTTCTTGCTTAGGGTAAGTGCCGATCTCTGTTTTGCGCTAATTTTTATGTTAATTCTTTCAAAAACAGATTTTAATGAAAAATATCTTTAATGTTAAAAATCCTGATTAAGGATCCCTTATTAAGGATCAATAATTTATTTGTACAGCATTCACAATAGCATGGTGTGATATATTTTATAAATACATAATCATATCGTTAGGTTCAAAAATTGATATTTAAGTTTAAATATCAATTTTCTAAGAACATTTAGCATATTAAAAGTCTCAAAAGGTTTAAATTACAACGATAAATTAGAGAACTGTCATTTGAGGAGAAAGAAAATAATTCATGGCATGTACAAAACAATGCTTGCAACCAATTAATGTTTCTCTTAAAACAAGTTTTAAGGATGTATTCTATTTGTCTATTTGAACATGTGACTTTTTTGTTCTACAGATACGGAGAATATCAGATTCGTGTTCGCGGCGGTAAAGGACACCATTCTACAGTCCAATCTGAAGGAGTACAATCTGGTTTAGACGGCGAAGCGTGCTGCAAATCCGAGCGGACTCGACCAGTTTCTCTTGCACCCTGACCAATGTATCAGTGCGAGACTGCTACTCCGTTGACTCGCGAGCGTGATCTGTGGAACGACGTGAGGAACGACGAAGAGGCGCGAGACAGAAACAAACGGCTACGACAAACTCGTAGTGCCACCGTATACGCACATATATCGACATGCGTTGCGCCACATTGAACTTCGTCGCATCGAAAGTGTTGTACCAGCACAAGTAGCTAAGACGCGTAATACACACATGTAATTATGAAGGACGTAAAAGGGCGAAGTAAGAAGGTGAACAAGGACCTAAAAGCGTCACGAGTGTTCTTTTTCTTAGCGGAGAAAGAGAGATATGAGAAAATCTCTTCACTGTCGATACCAACTCGCGCGAGTCGATTCGGTTCTCTCGTACACAGGTTCCCGTTTTGGGATTTGTTACCTTTCTTTTGTAGATTAGTTCTTAGTCGATATCGCGGGCAAATACGCCCCACTCCCGGGCCGAGGATGCGTCAATACCTGAGGGTCCCGGGCATCGTTGTCTGACTTTTATATATATATATAGATATATATGTGTGTGTATGTGTGTGTATATATATATATATAAAAGTGAAGAAACGCTATATGCGAACTATATGTATCACGCGCGTGAGCGTGGCGCACGGCGCGGCTGTGCCGCGTGGATTTTTAACGGCCGTCTGTGTTCGTCTCGAGTCCAAGAGATCTCAACAGAAGAGAAAAAACTGAAGAGGCGAAACGGCGAGGCGAACGAAAAAATAAAATTTTAAAAAACCGGCTTTTTAATCGCGAATTAGATTCGATGACACAAGTGAGAGAAGCAATTCTAGTGCCATTTACTAGTGTGGTGTTGTTGTTTTTCTTTTCTTCTTTCCTTTCTGTTTTCTTCTTGTTCTTATTCTTTTTCTTTTTTCTCAAATGTACTAAACGCTAAATTATGAGAACATTCTTCATTTAGAATTATGCGAAAGCCAAAGTCTTTTTGTTTCTTCCTTTTTATCCATGCCAGAAATGACTCAAAGTTCTTTCTGCATGTGATTCGAATCCATTAAAAAATTCATCATATAAATATTGTTATATATAATATATAAAAAGAATGATATAGATTAGAGAGCGTGAGAGAGGGAGAGAGAGAGAAAGAGAGAGAAAGCGAGAAAGAGAAAGAGTGAAAGATATATCAGCAACCGTGGCGAAGAAAGAGAGAGGAGGAAGAAAGTAAAAATGAATGCGAGAGAGAGAAAGAGTGTGTGAGATTTGAGGGAAACTTTGTAAAAGCGAAAGATACTGTGGGGAATTGCGTCTGTTCGATGTGACTTAGATAATTAAGGCGCGCGGGAGGAGCCCGCAGATATCTCTCTCTGCCGTCTCCTCTCTCTGCCGGCTGTGCGTGCAGGTTGTGCGAGGAAAAACGTTCCTTGAGCTGCGAGCAAATCCCTCCAGAATAAAAAGTTCTAATTTGCAAGAACAAATTCTTTGAGAACAAGAAATTCTATCTTGTATAGATAAATTTCTAAAAAAAATACGTGGTCCTGATAATATTTACAGGAACGAGGATTCTCGTCTCGATTTGTGAAGAGAATTTCTTTAAGAACGAGGAATTTCTTATAAATCGAATCACATTGTTTTTTCGAGGATGAATTTCTTAAGCATGATGAAGAAAGGAAGAGGTTCTGTTTGTCGCGGTTCTCCCTTCGTCGGGTCCTCGCCCTTCCGACGCAACGGCACAGCCACCGCGCGCAGCCAAGATCATGGATCCCCTCTCCTTTGGAAGAGAGGGGCTTCATGCCTCTCGCTCGCCCCGTATCCACATTATACTGTGTACGTACGTATGAACTCACTGCCTGCGCTCGGTCATACATTGGCTAGCGCGCTGCCCGTTGCTCGTACTCTCCGATGGTTCGATATCTTCTCGAAGCCGCGATTTTCGCCATTTTTCTTCCTTCTCCAATGACGCGGGGAAAAGTAAATGAACGAGGAACAAGAGAGGAAGTGGTTGATGAAACAAATTAACGTTGAATTTGAGGAATTTAAGAAAAAGCTTTGCAAATTAATGTAATAAAGTAGTAAGAAATTTTATAGAGAAAAATTCAAAAGGAAAAGGCAAGAGGTGAAGTCGAGATAAGCTTTTATTTTTTTTTCTATTAGAAGATATAAAAAGAACGATGTAGTTAATAATACAGGAAAGAAATAAAATTTCACGAATACGCGTGTTGATGAAAGAGAACGAAAAATTCTCCTCTTTTCGCTTCGCTTGATTTCAAAATCAAGATCTTTCTAGCATTATCACGAAAAGAGAGAAAATACAATGATGCGCAGAAACCACAAGGAGAAATGACAAGCCGGACCTTGCCAGTTTTTTTCGAGGGTGGAAACGCGAATAACGAGACAATTTCCCCGAGTCGAAAGCACTAGGCGTAATCGCGATAAATAGCAAGAGCCGCGCGCGAACCCGGAGAGTACGTCGCGCTGATAGAGAAGATTCTCTCTACGTGACATCGGCCGGGTCTGGACGGTTTCCCGTTCGGACACAATGCGTGCAGCGGCCCGAAGGTCATCAGACTCCGCCGGTGTCGCGGATGCATACACCGGGCAGTATGTGTCATATACCTTAGTTGTGTCACACCCACCTTGGTTGGAACACTGAGTTTATATGAAAAAAAAGTATATATATAAATACATTGGATAATATATTATATATTAAGCGGATACAACAAATAATATTGAATAATAACATTAATAATTATAATAATAATTATAATAATTATAATGATAAAATAATAATAATAGTAATAATAATTAATAATAGTAATACTGCTTGGTTTTCATTGAGAGCGCGTGACTAAACGTTTGATGGCAGAGAGGGAGGGAGAGATAACGCGTGTGCAGGACACGAAGTGCAAAACGATGCTAGTGAAATATGAATGAGTGAATGAGGAGAAAAAGAATGTGTGTATATGCGTATGTGCATTATTGTGGTGCGTCTGTGCATATGTATGCGTATTTGTGCAATTGCGTGAGCGTATGCTCATGTAAGAAAAAGAGATAGAGGGGTTGGTGAGAGAGAGAGAGAGAGAGAGAGAGAGAGAGAGAGAGAGAGAGAGAGAGAGAGAGAAGAGGCAAGATGGAAAGAAGGCGAGGGAGTGATTTTCATTGTGCGTGCGTGAGAAACACTTTATCAAGAAATAAACATAAAAAGAGATCGGTTGCAACTACTAGGCTTTGTACAACCCTAATCGAGAAACAGGTGAGAAAACGACGTGCAAGAGTCTCCAAGGGGCTGTTAGGTTCATTTGTAAATCATCTCTCGTCAGGAGGCGTAAACCACCCTTCTGAGAGCGTAAAATATGTTGGGTATTCTTTCTCTGTGTATAAAATTGTAAACACCTATCAAACCCAAAATCAATGTTTCTAACTTATTTATAATAAATAATATACATTAATGATAAAAATAAACACAGTTTGTGACAGTAGTATCGACGAGTGTGATGAAAGAAGTCATCCCTCAATTGCAACAACGATCCCTCTTCCATCCTACATATTGTCAACATACCAATTTCTTATGTACTTCATTCCATTATTTATCTATATTTCTTTAGCCTATATTTCTACAATGTGTCTTTTGTTTCCTGTTTTTTGCTTTTGCTATTTTTTACATCTTGCTTCTTATCCGATTTTTTTTGTTTTATATCGCTCGAGATAAAAGTTAACGAACTTTGAAAGAAAATACGTAACAAAAAATACAATTGTCCGAAATAAAAAATACAATACTGAAAAAAGTTGCAGAGGAAAAGGTAAGAAAAGCAAAAGGTAAAAGGCAAGAAGCAGGAAACAAAAAGCTTGTAGAATAGGTTTTTGATCTCTAACAAAAATATGATAGAAAAAACAAGATACATTCGTAAAATAATAAAATAACTAAAAATTTTTGAACTCATGAAATTACTAAAATTTTTGATATTTTAAACAATGCAACCTTGGTGATTATATTTTGCTGATTTTGTTGATGAATTTAATAGTTTTTCAAATTTTTGAAGTTTCAAAATTTTGAAGTTTGAAAATCTCCAAGCAAAATCTAAGAAATATGATTCTTAAAATTTTAGTTGATATAAAATAGATGTAGAGGAATGTGTTTATAAGGCAAAATTTTCATATTTTAATAATATAGATATAATTATATTTTTCAAAATTACAAAATTATATTGTTATTAATTTATATGTATATATTCTATTATAAAATATTGTGTTTATTTAATATAAAAGAAGAAATACGAATGATCCAATTTTTTTATATATATATAATATAACATATTATGCGCATTACGAAAAATATATATTATATATACATAAAGAAGACATAATAGAAATGTGATAGCAGAAAATTTCTTGTATGAAACATATTGCATTAGCTCTTTCCCATTTTATATGCTTTATACGTAAAAGTCCGTAATCAGATAACGTATCTGTTAACAGACATGAATTATCTCTCTTTCAAAAATATATAAAATAATATTTTTCGATCGTTTTTAAATATGTAATTTTAAATTCTCACTTAATACTGAGAAGAATCAAATTTAAATAAAACGTCTTTACGAGAGCATCCACAGTTGTCAGTGCGCAAATATTATATTTATAAGCCATAAGGTAATAAAATGTAATTCGCAAACTTAATTTTGTTGATAAGTACTTCACTTGTTGTTTGCGAATTATATGTATCTTATCATCTTATATTAATATAAATATATTATTTATGTGTTAACAGAGGCTCGTATAATTATTTTACTCATATTTAATTTATTCTTGGAATCGCAAAACTATTTTTATTTTTATTTTATCTAAAAGGAACGATGACATAACAATTTGAATGTTTATAAACTAATTACATATACAATAAATCAATTATTATGTTTGAATGTAATATTGAATGTAATATTTTGCAAAAAAATAATTTAAAAAATTTTTGTATTTTAAAATTTACAATTATATATAAATCATTTTGAAAAATTTTAAAATTAATTATTTCGTGATGAGAGAAACATCTTTTTATTGAGTGTTCATCAAGCGTATTAAAGAAAAAAATATAAACTAGTATTCATATTCCTATTAATTTTATGCAATTAGATAAATTGCCCTTTAAAACGTTTATTGATAAATTTAATTAATTTAAATTATTTATTTATTGATAAATTTATTTAAATATTAAATGCGATTCTTCGTAAAATAGGCTACACGGAGGTCTTTACCGCGTTTGTCGAACAGCTGTGGGTAGAAAATGAAAAGAAGGGAGCAGCTGTACGTGGAATGCGCATGCACCAGGAGGGGTGAGTATGCCACCACCTGGACTCCTAGACAGCGCTTTTGATCCATGTGTGAGAAAAGGATAGCATGAATCGAAGATAGATTGAATGAGTGAGAGAAGAATACATGATTGAGAGAGAAACAGATAGATATAAAACAGAACAGAGAGAGAGAGAGAGAGAGCAAAATGGTGAGAAAAAGAAGGAAATTATGCAAGCTAAAGAAGAACAATTTGCAATGGAGGAAAAGAGAAAGAAAGAAACAAGAAAATATGAGAAATGAGAGAAGAGAGAAGGAGAAGACAGACACGGCGTATATAGAAGAAAAGGAAGTACAGAGGTAGGGAGAAGGAAGGAGTGACAATGTGGATCAGAGAAAGGCAGAAAATGTCGGAGAGGGGAAAATTGCGAGATAATAAGAGAAGGACAGAGCGTGGTGGTGGTAAAGAGATAAAGCGAAATGGAAGGAGAGAGAGAGAGAGAGAGAGAGAGAGAGAGAGAGAGAGAGAGAGAGCAAGTACAGAACAAGCAAGAGAGAGAAAGAGGGAGAGGAACAAGAGAGCGGGGGAAACGCGGCAGTGGAGTCGCGGCGCGTTTCCGCGGATATAGTCCTGCGGAAGATCAGCGAGAGGACTACACCCTTACTGCAGTGTGGCGAGGATCAACCCGTATCGGCATATCGCACAACGCGCGCTGCTCCGAAGCGGAGAGGATGAGTCTTATGCTGGACGAGGAGGAGCTCGACGAGTGAGTTCTTGTTCGTGTTCGATAAGAGTCGGAAGGAATTTAATTGGCATCGCCAAGGCTCGATGACTCA